GGTTTTACTGATTCTAGTCAGACCTTTTCTTGGATTGCTACTTGAGCTCTCAAACTTGATTGATTGATTGATCCAATGATTGGTTGGTTGATTGGTTGGTTGACTGGTTGGTTGATTGATCCAATGATTGGTTGATTGATTGATTGATTGATTGATTGATTGATTGATCGATTCGTTGATTGATTGATTGATTGATAACTTGATTGATTGATTGATTGATTGATTCGTTGATTGATTGTTGATACCTTCATTGATTGATTGATTGATTGATTGATTGATTGAAAGAGAGTCTGACTGAGAATTTCAGAAGTCCCAGGCAAAAATTCTAATTTTGCTGTGAATGTTCAATGTTGTCTTTTTTGTGTTTGTCCGAAATTTGTTGTTTTGTGTACAGGAAATGCAATTGGTTTCCCGTGGACCCGAACGAGCCGTTGGACCTTGTCCATCCTATGCCAAGGCCATCTCGAGGGCTCCCTATTCTCGTCTCCAAAAGAGTAGTCTGCGATGAGAGTCAATAACTCAAATTCAAAATGTAAAATAATTTCGTAATTTTTACATTTCTTTTTTTTTCCATTATGTAAAGACAAGCGGATTAAATATTTTTTTTCTCATTATTTTTCTTATTATTATTATTTAACATTTCAAGGAGTCTTTCCATTACAAGCTGGGAATTGGGCCCGGCCTCCCTCACATGAACATAGCTATGGCCCACAGGGATAAGCCTGGCTCACCGGCCAGGCATAGTAACCCCAACCATAGCAAAAATCTCACCCACGTTGCGGGATTGCTTTATAATTATTAATTTCTACTCGCTGAGGGAAAAATAGACGAGGAGTATGACATGAGAGAATTGGAGATTTTTTGAGATGGGGAAAACCCGGAAAAGGGACCAAAAAAAAAAAAAAATCACCAAAGGGTGCTTCTATCTGGATAAAAAAAATTGACATGATTTTTTAATATTTATTATTATTATTATTATTATTATTTTAATGTCATTGGATGGAAGTCAATGGAACTGAATATGGCTCATTTTTCCTCCCTCAGGTTTGTTTGTTTGTTTGTTTGTTTGTTTGTTTGTTTTTTTTTTTTATGCCAGTACTTCAATCTATGGCTGGGAAGCCGTGAGCGGCTTGAGGCTGCACCTTAGGTTTGGTCGAGGTTTGTTTAATTAAGGAGTTTTTATTCTGGCTTTCGGTATGCGCCAACCTCACCCCTGATGGTTAAACGAAGAAACCAAATGACGAAAACTGATTTATCCTTTAGATTGATTAGATTAATCAGTATGAAGTTTTTTTTTTTTTTTTTTTTTTTTTTGGGGGGGGGGGGGGTTTTTTTTATCCTCATATGGGGGACAGCCACATTTGTTTAACTATCCTATTATCCTCTCTCATTATTGTATCTCTCACTACCTTTCCCAGGGGGGGCAAGAAAGGGACCGTCCACCCCCCAGACAAGCCCGGAACTTATTAATTTAATCACCAGTACCTTTCCCAGCTATAAAGTCCGACAGTCCGGGGCTCGGTCCCAGCTGCACATTTTCGTTGTAGGAGGCTACCACGAAGAGAACGGCCGGGCACCTAAGGACCATGGATTGACACAATCGATGGTCCCTAGACGCCCGCCAGTAGCTTCGCGGTAGGCGCCTACAAGGGAAAGGCGCAGGCGGGACCTGAGCCCCCAGCTACCGTAATGCCGAGCCTTGCCGAGCCAGGAAAGTCGGGGTTTCTAAAAATGAGAAAATGAAAATAACAATTATGAACGCGATTCTTAAAAAACAAACAAAAAAAAAAAAACAAGGAAAACAACGAAATGAAACCCTAGAGATGGGAGGATCTGGGTCCTCGGCCGGCCTAAGGGGCCCCTGCTGCAGATGTGCCCGCCCAAAGTGAAGGCGGGCCTAACAAATCACGGGAGGCCCTCAGCTGTCAATGTTATATTTGGGGTGCAGGCAGTTTCTACGCGCCAGTTGGTTGAGGGAAACACAGGCTGAGCAGCAAGACATTCCACGGCCTTCCAGGCCTTTCCAAAAATGCAGGCCCTGGGCGAGAATCGCAGCCTCATACACAGGCAGTTGGGAGGCCCAACCGAATGGAGGCCCAGCAGCAGCATCGGAGGCACAGCCTCCTGGGGCCTACCGGAAGCTTCTGGGCAGAGGCCCAGGCCAGCCAGGCCACCGAGAAAGGCAGTCTCTTTCCATATAGGAAAGAGCTCGCTGACTGGCCAGGTATTCAGCACTTGCATGCTGGCGGCAGCGCTGCTAAAGCGGACGCTCGTGGGCTGCTGCTGGCGCTGAGAGGCAAGGTGCTAGCGCGCACAGTCGTGCAGGAAGCAGGGCGCTGCTGAGAGCAGCGCCATAGCCCAGCCTCCATAGCGGGATGGGCTTCGACTACAGTGAGGCGCAGGGGTGGTCTTCGGGTGTACAGACGGAAGACGTGGGTGTAAGAAGAGGGAGAGAGAGAAGGGTGATGATGATGATGATGATGTGAGGGCACATATTACCTGGTATTGGCAATAGTCTGCATTGGGCGACATCTTCAAGTACTTCATGGGCTGCTGACGTCAACAATTGCATTGTCAATTAGTAGGCAGACTGTAGCTGTGTAGGAAGTAGGCTGGGCTCCGAGCACCAAGAAGGGAGAAGGTCCTGAACTCTTGTGTTGGTGGTGGCGAGAGCAAGCTCTCATTGACATTGTTTTTCAGTGCTACGATTCTCCATTGGTGTCATATTGGTGCAATGCTACTTCCTGGACACTGTGATACTTTCTGGCTTTCAATGTGATTGTGCATTCTGGTTATTGTCATCTCGCTTCTGCTCTTTTTTTTTTTGAGAAAAAGCCCTTATGCAAGGCCTCTATCCTGGTGGTGGTAAGAGAACCACCGGGATTGAGGCTTGCCTGGCGGGCCGCTCCATCTATCCGCTTGGAAAAGAAAAAGAAAAAGAAAAAAAGGGTAGAGAGAGAGAGAGAGAGAGAGTGGTGCAGCGAACACGCCAGGATTTCCTCTCTCTCTCTCTCTCTCTCTCTCTCTCTCTCTCTCTGTGTGTGTGTGTGTGTGTGTGTGTGTGTGTGTGTTGCGGCGCTGTTCGAATCTGCAAAATGGGAATGAATTTTCCTGTGCTCACGCAAATTCGAATGTCCGTCCCTCTCTCTCTCTCTCTCTCTCTCTCCCCGTCCGTGCCGTTCGCGCTTTGTTTCGTTTTTCTTTTCCTTGTCTTTTTTTTTTTACTTTTCGTTTCTTTTCGGTTGCTTTTTTTTTAATCCTTCTTCACACTCGGTCGTCGGTCGTTCCCTGCACCAACCCCCTGTGTTAACCGGCGCGTATTTGTTTACGAAGTAGGGATCGAACTGGTGGTTTAAGACAGGCAATACCAAATAGGTCCAAGGTTTTAGGGCCAAGAGAGGGCCAGGAGATCAGAAGGAACAAACCAACCAGCTCATGCAAGGACCAAACTTAAATTCACTAGTCAGAGCTAAAGCTATCTGAGGTTATGGGTGTACACTGTACACCTACCTACCTCTTTTTTTTTTTTTTTTTTTTTGTTTGGGGGGAGGGGTTGTAACAGAAGTGCCTCTTCACCCTTTAAATAGGCCACCTGAAATTGCTAGACTTTTCTAGCATGTTCCCTCACCATATATGCCTACATAAACCACCAGTACTTGGCCCAGCTATCGATGCCGAGCCGGCCGACCCCCTGCGCGCCGAGTTTCGCCGAACCGCCGGGGCGCCGTTTCAACTTTTTCTTGGCTGGCGCTTCCAGCCATTGTGGTCCGGTACCCCGAAGCCCGAGAGGCGCGGCGCGTTAACGGGGAAGCACCGCGGCCGATAGCTGGGCCAAGTACTGGTGGTTTAACTGCAATCTGCTTGAGCCTTCCTGATCTGAATTACACTGAAAAGCCAGGAGGCCGAGGGGATCGAAAGGACGACATTGGGTATAGAACCCACGACCCCTAAGTGCCACTTATGTGCTCAACCAACCGAGTGCACCCGCTTGGGCTCAGAAGTCTGTTTTTGTTGGGAAAAAAGAAGAAGAAGAAGAAGATTGACTTGATGCATTAGATTGATTTGATTAAATTAAGTTGATTGGACTTATTTGATTCATTTCAGGGGAAATTGCAGAAATACCGGTTTTGTAATGCTCAGCGGCAAATATACCGCCAGATAAAAGTATCATGTTAAAAATGCACCTTAAACTTTTCCAACCAAGAATACCCATTTGTTTTTTCTTTTTTTTAAGTAAGCTACATTCTTCTCTCAATTTCACTTCACACTACCTACCTACTGCTCCTCCTAACAATACTCATTTCCAGGTACTATGGCGGCAAAAATACCCGTCGTGTTTCCACAATTCCCAGCACAGGACCCTTCGGCCTCAGGCACTCTGGTCAGAGGCTCAAGGTCGGTCCAGTAACGGTAAGGGCCTGGGCAAAAAGATGTTCCAGGCAAAGGGTTTCCTACACGATCAAAGTGGGAAAACCGTGTTGGGCCCGTTAACGCAGCGCTGCGTTCGCGCAGCGCTGTGTTGGAGACATGTCTGCTAAAATTTTTGACAGTCAAGGGCGCTGAGAGCATTGCGGGGAGGGTTACACTCCAGCACCTTGATAGCGATCTTCGTGTTCTGCTCTCGATCCTCATCCCTACCACGTGGCAGGTGAGGGTAGAACTTGGACGACGCCCCTCATATCAGTATTATGAACTGGCCAGCGCTTGCTCCCTGGGCTCAGATATGGAGCCCTCGGTGAGGAGAGCCCCTCGCTTTCAGTAGAGGAGTTACCGCTTTCTCGGCCCTCTGTCTGCTGAACGACGTGAACGTGACCTGGGTGTCTCTCCATAGCTCGTATGAACACTGCTGACGGAGTAGAATAATAGTGCATTGGGAGCGATCTGTTGCGTGGAGGGGCCTTCTGCCTTCTATCCACGGCAACGTCGACTCGTCTACGGGGAGAGCTTCCGTGTTGTTCTTTGCAGTATTGCTCAGCGTTTACATCTTGCTACGGAAGAAGACGCGTGTCACTGCCATCATCATTATCATCGAAGAAGAAGAGGAAGATGCGTGTCAACATCATCATCATCATTATCGAAGAGAGAGAGAAAGATGTGTGTCATCATCATCATCATCATCATCATTATCATCATCATCATCATCATCATCATTATCATCATCATCATCATCATCATCGAAGAAGAAGAAGAAGAAGAAGAAGAAGAAAATGAAGACGCGTGTCATTATCAACATCATCATTGAGTAAGAAGAAGACACATGTCATCTGGGGCACAAATGTATACTAGTAGGATTCGCCACAGAGGTTGGCCTTGTGCTTTTTGGTGCTAACGAGACAGATGATCGTGGGGTTGGATTATCGATTGGATGGTTTTGCGCGTGATTTTTTCAAAATTCGGACCGATTACCGTGGTTAATCAGTGAGGTTGTTGGTGTTGCTTTTCTTTCACCCCCTTTTTACTGGATGACGCTTTCTGCCTGTAGGACAATAGAGGTCGTGGTGGGGATCACCTGGAATGATGGGCCTGATGCTGCCCCCTCATATTGTCTGTCGTTTTGGGACACTCTACCTGGTTTTGTGAAGCCTTTTTTTTTTTTTTTTTTTTTTTTTTTNTATTAACTTCGCATGTGGGGATACCTACTTAACGAGGTGATAGCTCTACTAGATTAGGGCATGGGGTTTGACATAGTGTGGCTGCTTTTTGCTCTGTAGATTTTTTTTTGTTTTTTTTTAAATAACCAGCGACCACTACTAGAGGGGGTGATAAGAACAGCCGCCTGTACTAGCTGTCCCTGGCTGCTCCATCTATTGATGGGGAGCTGCACCTGCTGAAAACCGGGTCCAGCGTCCCTGTGTAACAGGATCATCCACAAGATTAGCACAAGAGCATTCCGCCAACATTGATTACCTCAGGTTACCTCAGAGCGGTTAGGAAGGCTGTGGAGACAGA